ACTAGCATCAATCCACCTATTTACCAAGCATGAAAAGGGTAATTTACCTTACAGAGCTAGTTTTTAGTGGAGCTGACTATAACCCAAATGGAATTTGTATTGCTTATTTAGAAAGGTTAAGGAAAGGAAACTGTTAATCGGCACTGTTGTATCCTTTCCCCTCAACAAGGCAACCACTGGCAGGACTGATTTTCTGCATCATCTGGTTTTTGTGTTATAGGTTTTTGCCTGAGGAAATACTAATGATGTGATGGACAAATGAATATCATATTATCTCACCCTGACATATTTCTGAGATAATAAGATTCACACTTTGAAGAGAATATTCCAAATGAAAGGGAAGGGTTTAGAAGGAGGACTTTTGGGACATGACCCTAGATTTCAGAGTAATTTTCTCCTCTAAATTATTCAACTTTCAATGATTACAATCACTGCCATAATTATATTTCCAAAAATTACCTTTTGTAGAGATAATAGACACTTTCAGTTTAAATTAAATCAGGAAAATTTAGCTTAGACTGGGTTTCATCCATTTTTTCCTGTATACATATATTAATGAAAATTTCTCAAATGCCCTTTAGGGGATCATGTTCTTATTTAGTGAATAAGTACAAAAAAGTGAATAATTGTTATATATAAATAAAACAAATTTACCATATACAGAGGTAAATTCTAAGTAAAATTAGAAATGGAGAAAAACTCAATGTAGGAATTTCTAAAAATGATAAACACTATATATATATATACACACACACACACACACATATACATATATATGTATATATAAATTGGTACATATATATAGTATATATAAATTGAGAGTTTGTATGTGTATGTGTATATATACATGTATATATATGTGTGTATATATATAGATTTCTGGAAAATCTAATTACCATGTTAGCAAGCTGAATCCGATCTATATACATACACATACAAACAAACTCTCACACACATACCTTTTATTTCACTGAGGCTTGATATAACTACTAACTTGAAGAGAGCTAAGAGACGGACACAACAAACAACGACATGTCACCTGGAATATCGATCTGAGTTGTATATGTGAAAAATTAAAGGAGGAAATATTCCTCTTCAACTACCAAGCCAAATATAATTAAACTAAAATCCTCTACAGATATTAAGTTAGAATTTACTTGGAAAGAAGACTGGGTTCTATTATTGATATATTTTAAAGATAAAAAGTTTCTGCAATAAGGGAAACTAGAGTTACCTAGAAATTTCAAATGGTATTTCAATCATCTATTCCTTTATCATTCAACAAATGTTGACTATGTACCAAGCACTGTTTCAGTGAACAAAACAAAAATCCCCGTCCTCATGGAACTTACTATTCTACAAGAGGAAATAACACTAAACTCCCACAAGCAGAGGGCAGGGGAGTCCAAGGTCCTAAGGTGGGGATGCAGCAGGCCAGGGGAATTGACTGCAGGAGGCAGGGCAGCTGGGGTGTGCAGAGCAGTGCAGCTGGCAAAGGACAGGTCACAGAACAGCTCACAGGAACCAGGTCACAGTGAGCCGCAGGTCACAGTGAGCCGCAGGTCACAGTGAGCCGCAGGTCACAGAGTTGGATTTTGTTCTTTTCTCTCCACCGCCCTCAAGATGAAGTAAAGATACACAGCGTGGCACACTCAGTCCTCCCGGCTGGCCCTCTTCAGCCTAATCTCTCCTTAACCCCTTGTGCTGTACTTCTCGCCCAAGTCGCTGTGGGGGCACGAGCTTCTCTCTTCCCTCTGTAGTTCTGCATGCCCTGTTCTTTCTCTCTGCAAGACCTGCCCCACAGTCTTTGCTTTCCGCTTTTGGTCATTTGGGCTAATTTTAGGTATTGACTTCCTATGACTTCTTAACCCCTCACTATTTGGGAGCTTTCCCATGTTTTCACACAACATAACACTACCCCCATCATGTTATTTTAGACCCTTGATAATAATAAATGAATTATTTACTTATTTATTATTATCAATAAGGATAATAGAATCAATAAGGAAAATAAGAATAAATAAGGAATTGGTCCAATGACCTGGTATCCCATGTTTCCAACAGGATTTTGCATACAAAATAAATATTGGTTAAATGAAATGATGGATCTTAAACCAGGCTCAAATCTCTCTACAAAAATCTTAAAGAGTTATTTAATTTATCAGATCCACATAAAAGGTGGTAATTTTGGGAAAAAAGCTTTACTTCTGAATCATTCTGTAAAACCTCTAGTTCTTTCATGTCAGTGAAACAGTTTAGCTTAAAATTCGTTGGTTCACTAATTAAATAAGAAATGCTAACTAAAGTTTTACCCAGCCCGAAACTCCCAGTAGAAATGAGTCAGGGAGATTAAAACAAGCGAAGTACAAAAAGGCACTTCTTTCTGTTTGTTCAGAAAGGCATTACCCATTAAATCTTTCTTTGTCTTCTCTACTTAGTGAAATAACAGCCACAAGGAACCAAAGTAATCAAAGGGGAAGACAACGCCTCTCTCTTTCTTAACAGTTCTTCTTTTACTTTAGAAAAGAAAAGCCTGGAGAATCAGACGCTGTCAGCAGGTGAGAGAAACAGACCTTTTAAGTACTTTGATGACAAGCTAAACTGAAACCAATGAACCAGTATAAACCTCAAAAGGGTCTGAGCCTATGCTTAATATTAAAAAATCAAGATGAGTAAGCAAAACAGCTTCTCAGCCAAATGTGGATTTGTATTTATCATAGACACTTATGTAATTCATTAAAAAGAAAACAGAAAAGGAGAACCACCACCACTATTTAACTCTCTTGATATTAGGTTTCTCTAAAGCTTTTTCCTTGACTCTGCTGTTTGGTTATGTATCAGGTATATTATATCAAATATAATATTTGCAAATTAGCTTCCTGATCTGTATACCAATTAAGATTTACCAACATATTAGGCTTTAATATTAATAAAATGAGCCTGTGACAATATGCCTAAATAAGAACAAGTTTTTAATCAAAGAATAAATATTGTCTTAAAGCCGAAAATGGAAACCTAAAATAAAACATAGAGTATAACAGGTTATCAAGACATTTATGCTTTTTAATTAAGGCACGGCCTCATATGAATAGCAAAGTCATTTGGTAATGGAGTGCCTGTCTTCCTCAGCCCCCATATGAGCTCTCAGTATAATTTATTCAGAAAACATAGTTCTTACCTACAGAACATAAATCACCAATAGCATATTTTCAGAATTATTTTGTTTTGTTTTGTCTTGGGCTATCCCTTATTATTAGACTGGATTTTTCTAGTATGAATCCTAGAAGGAGGCAAGGCCCCAATTCCTACGATGAAATCCAGAGAGGAAAAGACATTTTTTTTCCCACTGCCTGGTACTTGAGGCATATAATTTAATCGGGCTAATTAGGTGTTCCTACTCTGTCAATCTAGAAGGATATTGATTCAAGTCAGCAAGTCTGGTTACTAGACAATTTGTGGTCTCTCCTAACTCTCCATTGCTGCCCCCTCTCCTTTGGCATGTGCCACTTTTCTCACTCTGGCTGGTCAGCCTTCCTTCTTCATAAATCCCTCAACATTTAAATCAGCTGAAGCTGGGATTGTTATGCAGCCTGAGCAAAACTGGCTTCTGTTTTCTCTCTTGATTATTTGCAACAACTCAGGATTGGGGAGCTCATTGTTTTGTCTTAGTTGCAGTTCCTGTGTGCTCTTAGGAGATTAAACAGGAACATTGTGGTTACAAAAGGATATTAATTTCAGGGAGTCAGGGAAAGTTGAACAAACTTTCTAAAAACTGAATGGGGACCTAAACAGATTTAAAAAGCAAAAGAAAAAATGCAATTCAAAGAGCCTTAATTTAAGAGCAAGTGCTTGCAAACCCTAGCATGACAGATTCTGTTCACTGCTGGTTCTCAACTAATGGCGACTGTTCCACCAAGGGGACATTTAGCAAAATATGGAGTCATTTATGGTCACAACTGGGGGAGGGACGCTGCTGCTGGCATCTAATGAGGAGAGAAGGAGCATGCTGCTGTAACAGCACCTCACTACAGAGAATTCTCTCGCTGAAAATGTCGGTAGTGTAAGGTTGAGAGACCTCTTATCTCCCTTTAAATCAGATGTAAATACCATATTTTTCCATATATAATGTGCACTTTTGCCAATTTTTTGAGCAAAAAATAAGGATGCGCGTTGTACACTGCAAAATACAGTAAACTCCCCACACAGCTACAATAGCTCTCCCACCGTCCACAACGCTCCAATAAGGTTATAATTGCTTCTGAAACCTCATTCTTACCCTAATATTAAAAGAAAGCCTCGTAATTCATCTGTCAATATCACAATTCACCTATGAACAACACAGGTGAGAAAAAAAAAGAAAAAAGAGTAAATCAGGGTAAGGAATGAACACGAGCAGAGAGCTGTAAAGGGCCGAGAGTGCCTGAGGAAGGGACAGGGCACCCAGGGGGCAAAAATAGTTGTGTTCGTGGCCACAGACATTGGGAAGTAAAACTGACAGATGCTGTGATCAGAACCCAAAGTGTCTTATACGTCGCAGGAGTCCACATTTTACTCTCTGAGGAAAAGTGATTTTTAAGGAAAAAAAAATTCTAGGTAGGGTAGAGTAATATGTTGTTTCTTAAGAAAAAAAACTCTGGCATCAGTTTCAGTGATGATCTGACATGAGCAGACCTGGTAAGAGAAGCTGGGGGATACCTGCGACAGTAGGAAAGCTAAATTTGGGTGCTTGGAGGAGGTGATGGCAGTGGGGCTGGACAACGGAGGCCAGAAAGGACTTAAGCACACTCTTGCAGATTTCCAGTGCCATAAAATATAAACGTAAGAGATAAAAACACGTTAAATGACTTAACACACCTCTGTTTCCAGTGTGCATCAAAAGAAAAATACGGTAACATGTCAATGGATTAAGAGACTTAAAGGTTATACAATGATAATGTATGCTATTTAGATAATTCCGGTATGACTTTCAAATAACATATACAGAAAATTCATGGTATTACCTGCTCTAGGACTTCTTTATAGGTAATAGTTGCTTTAGTGTTTGTGACAGGGCTGTCATAGATGATTGCAATCTTGTCTCCTTGACCATTTTCAATATGACGATCAACGGCATTATAACAAATGTTAAGCATTCCTTCCACAAACCTGAAAAATAATTGGACAGTAAAAGTGAATGACTCTTTGCAAAAGATACTGATACTTAACTAGTTTTGTATATTTCTAGGTTGGCAGCACTGCCCTCAAAACAGCGCTTTCCTGTGTATGTTATGCTGGGTAACGATAGCAATAAACTAGATGTGTAAGATTGTGTAGAAGTGACATTTTTATTTTAATGATTATGTATTTACTTTGATGTACACCAAAAAAGAATACCTCACTCTTCTAGGTGACATCTTTATGGATTTTATTGTGTAGGATAAAACTAGAGCATAGAGCAATAAAATAATCTGCATCGATGAAATGAATTGTGTGGAAGTGCAACACAGATGCCATAAAATGGTAAATGTATGACTGAAGCTTGGGTACCTGCTCCAAAAAAAAACAAACTAACAGACTTCCTGGAAAATTCAGGTCTTCTTTGAAAGATAGCTATATGGATAGATAGATAGATACTATATTAGTTTCAATTAAATATGATGCCTGCAATTACATAAAAAAATATGTAAGATCTTTCCACAATGTTGGAAATGCTTCATAATTTTAATAAAGAATGGATTTGCACATAAAATTTTAATGTTTAAGAACCTTTGCAATTCAGTGCTTTTCACCTGTTAATTGATCAATGCCTTCCTTTGAAAATTCAGACCTCATGTAGACAGATGGAAATACTTTAAGAAAACGTATCTCATTTTTATGAAAAGAAAAGGCTAAGCTTTTACCAGTTTTTGAGAAGGAGGGGATTAGAATAAAAATACAGGCACAATAATGGTCTATTTGTCAGACAAGCAAACATTATAACAATGCCAAATAACAGGAAAAAAATACTGAAGAAATAAGGAAATTCTGTTAAATAGCTGAGTATCATCTCCAGGTCTTCACTCAAAGAGCCTTGTGTGAAATTAAGCAGGGAATTAAGAACAGCTGTAGACACAGTGGCACCATTACGTAGTAATAGATTCAGAAGGCAGCAGGAGGAGAGATCATTTCATCATAATCAAATGACACTAAATACTTCGATAACACTATGACTTACAGCACAGAACAAGAAGTAATTAATATAATGATTCTGAATTACCAAGGGTGAGAGATTCGGTATTTGTTCAGAAATACTGTCTCTTCCCCCTCTCCCCCACCTCCTGGAGTGAAGAACAGTTCCCTTGGTTTTGGGGTTATCCATGTGACTTGGTTTATTTAATCAGCAGACACAGTGCATGCAGAGGCCTGAAAGCACTTGGACACTGGGCTTGCTCTTCTTCACCTCTGCTGCCTCCTTGTCAGCCTGGAGCTCAGAAAAAAATATTTACAGGTGGGGATAGAGCCCAAAAGCAGCAGAAAGCTCAACCCAGGAAGCTATGTCTTAGAGCAACACTTCCAGTTACACACATCCTAGATCACCTAATCCCATGAAAACCTGCAGATACATGGAAATAATTGCTTTCCATGATTTGGAGATTATAGTTACTTGATACATGGCATAATTATAACCATAATTAACTAATACATAGAGAAAAAAGTAAAGTTTACTCAACATCTGTGGCAAAAATAAGGAAAGATGTTTTATAAAAATTTCCTGCAAGAGACCTCTGTGTATTTTTTGTTGTTATTTTTGCTTTTGTTTCTTAAAAGACTACATTTCAGACATAAGGAAGGTTGAGTTGCTGGAACATGCCTTGCTGGCATTATTCTTTTTCCCTTTATCTACAACTTCTGCTCTGCCACTTTTTGTGCTCAATATTCGATCATGTTTTGACATGTTGCAAAAAGGGGCCCTTTCAAGTCCAAATATTCATGGAAAGTTTACTTTATAGTTCACCTTGAGCTCAACCCAGATAATCAGAGGCTTTTCTCCCTCCCCACATCCTTGCAATGTACGGCATATCTTATATTCCCAAACCAGCAGCCTTTTCAAAAAACATGAGTTTTAGAGAACCTTTTCAAGGACATACCTTGAGAGAGTCAGGTGTTGTTGAGACCATTGGGATTGAATAACACGACTGAATCCAGTTAAGATCTTTATAGAAATGTTTAAGACTCTGGCAGATGGGTGCGAAGATCTATTCATCTTGCAGCCACCCAAGACAAGCCTGGTAGGTAAGTTCCCTTGCTCATTAAACCTGCTCCCTACCAATCTGGGAATGGCCTGCCTCTATTTTGGTTTCTTCTTGACTTCTGTGTGTGGTGGTCCGTCTGCAAACCAACAATATTTTTCATGGAATCTTTTCCCTTTGCTAAATTCTTAGATGATGGTAAGCTCTTACGTTCTATGTCCATTCCTTTATTCATTCTACATACTTTCTCTAAGTGATCTCTACACTCCTATGGTTTCAACCTCCGCCTTTACCTTTAGCCCTATGTCCTTTCTGAGTTCCATGCACTTATAGCCCATAGCCTGCTGGACATTTATACTTGGGAAAAAATATGTCCAAAATTATTATCATTTTCTGCCAACCTCCAACCCACAGCCCCTCCTGTCAGCCTAAAATACAGGAATGAGTTCATGAGGCAAAAGTGTTTATTTGGGATCCAAAAATTACAATTTTCAGGGAACGGATTTAGATAGGAACCCAAATAGGGTCTAGATTACAGAAGAGGGAATCATGGTTTTTACGAAATAAAAAAGGAAGATGAGGTAGGTTGTTTTTAAAAGATTTCATATTTGTACTTCAATAATTGGTTAGGTGAAGTGGTTACTAGTAACATTTCACTTTTATCTGTCCTGTCAACAGGAAATTCTCATTCTTGGTGTCATGGAATGTGGATGGTTTGGCCCAGTTCAAAGGTTCAGAAAGCAGGGCAGGCAAGGCAGTTCCTCTGAAATGGCTGCACTGGTTACATTTTAAAATGATTTCACATGTCAGTTTTCACATTTCCCCCCTTGTGATCAAGATAGTTTTTCAAAAGAATCATTTATCAATCATTGGAGTGGATTTTCTCAGTTTTCTCCTCTTTTCACATTGTGATCCCCTGTTGCCGGGAAGGCTCATTCTGGAATTTCATATCCCAGGTAGGTGGGGAAGTGGTGTTCTTGCGAGACTTTAAGCCACATTTGAGCAATAAGCGTGCCAAAACAGGCGGCTTGTCATCTAGTCCTATGAAATAAGCAGAAACTGTCAATGTTCACCATACATATTCAAATCAGTTACAATCTTATCTTTTAATTGTCTGTCTGAGGGCCTGTATGTGTTAGAAATCAATTCAAAATGCTGTGCTGCCATTACTCTTGTGGAGTTCTTAGAGCATTGTGAAAGACAGTAGATTTAAAGTTTAATAATAGCAATTATTCCTAAAATTAAAAACAGGACACTGATTCCAAATTGTAGAATAATTCTAAACCACGAGGCCATCCATCTAAACAGGTCAAAAAACCAAAAGTCTCATAGAGGCACCTATAACCAGTGGGCTTATTCTCTGTTTTTTGTGCATTTGTGTTTCAATCTATCCTTAAGAATCTATTCAAGGACACAGCGGTGACACAGGCATAACGTTGTTCTACTAGAACATAGTCGAAAGCAATTCAGTTATCTGACACAACTTGAGCACGTAAATGCAACGATTTCTCTAGTGCAGCCATGGCTTTGGTGATAGATTCAGCAATATCCCCTAAAGTTTTAGATAAATTTCTGATCATATATTAATTTGGGCCAAGGCTCCACCATGGAAATAAAAGTCTTGACAATCTTATTCCTTCACGGTCAGAGACATCATCTGGCATTTCTAGTTTTATTCTGTGATGTATACATTTAAGGGCGATAACCAATGCGGAGTCTCTGATTGACTACGTAATGAAAGTGATGTAACCAACGATCCAACTGTGCAATAACTTCCAAGTAGAGAAGAATTTAAGCAACTCCCCCATAGATTTTTCTGCCAAGTGCAGGTGAAAATAAATCCTAATGCGCACAGGTCATGAGTTATGATAATGAGATTGACTGAACAAAAGATCTAAAGGTAGTAGGCACAGTGAAAAGGCTGTAGAACCAGCCAGACATCAGAGACCAGTTGAATCACCTGACTGGTGAAATGAGTTCCCCAGTGATTATGAATGAAATTCAAAAGGGGTTTCCCAGGTAGGGATAATTTTCTGTCATAGAATTTTACCCACAGAAGAAGCAGTAGCCTGTCTACAAGGAGAACAGATTCTTATTGAACTCAAGTAATAATATTGCTTTGGAAATAAAGAATGCTAATTGACAGCTTCTGAATTCCAGCAGGATCAGGTAGAGTGAAAAAGTGATTGTTTCATCTTTGTACACAAATACATACTTTTTACCAAGTTGCCGTAAGTCATAGATCACTTAAGAGAAAAAGTTTCCTTAAATCCAATTCAGGAGCATCATCAGAAAGTTACCAGAAACTTGTATTCTAAAGTATTTGTCAGAGCCCTTTCCATGAATTTCTCTCAAAATGAAGCAGTGAATAAACCAGTAACTCTCTATAAATATATCAAAACTTAAAAATGACCATTTTTCAAGATCTGATAAGAACTCATCATAATTAAATTGACAAAGAAATTTTATTTCCATAATATACCCATTATAAGACGATAACAAGGTAATTGGAATTATGACTGATATTATTAGTCAGAATTTTAGGAATGTTGGGGCATTGGGCAGGCAACTCCAAAATATGCCACTTTGGAGTACTGATTATTCTGAATTAAAGTTGATTGAAAACCAGTCAATGTAAGGACACCTTAACCATCCTTTGTCTCCAGGAAGCAAGAAATAAACCTCCCCTGTGCAAGGTGCCCTCCCTGCACCTGGAGGCTGAGAGAAACATCCTTGTCCCCAGAATCAGAGAATTCAAGGCTGAGAAGAAGCCTGTATAAACTAATCTTGCTACTTTTTTTTTTTTTTTTACTAATTTACTACTCAAGCCCAACCTTTGCTTAGAGTCCTCAAAAATGAACACCTAAACCTAAGTTGTTTTTTTTTTGACCTGTCAAATCCCAACAAATTTTTGTTACTTTGTGTAAAAAGATATAA